CATCCTCTCATGACTTAGGTTTAAAAAAACCTTAAAATATTATATAAGATTAGGGATTGTCCACGCGTTGCGTGGAGTTTAAAAACATGATAATAATTAACATTAATAATTTCTAGCTATTGATTATTTGTGTGTTTAATATTATATAAATTTGGTATTTATAGTAAATAATTATCTAATTTAGAAGATTAAGCAATTGTAGCAAATTGTTGGACATATACAATGTTATATATGAAAAAATATACTATTCATTAATAAAAATTACAGCATATGGAAGACATCTTCTTTGGCACAAATCTTTAACTTGTATGTATGAATCAATATTCACTACGGTTTCCAAAATTGCATTAGAGGGTGATTGGTAAATTGGTTTAAAAGCTATGAAACCGTCTAGAAAAAAGTTTAAATTCTAAATTTTTTCCATTAAGACTTGTTGGATTTAACAGCCCTAAAAATCCTAAAATTATTCTTTAATTTTTTCACATCCTTTTTTTTCTTCAAGTTATGCTTCTTTTTATTAAAGTTTTTCGTTTGTAAGTTTTGTATAAGATATTGTTGGATTTGATAAATAAAATATCTATTTTCTATGCAGAAATTTACATAAAAAATATATTTTAATTTACATAAGAGTTATATAAATGTACACAAAGCACTTAATTGTAACTTGTTAGAATTAATTTACATAAAAATGAGCTACTAAATTGTTAGAATTAATTGCTAAATTTATTAAAAGACACTTAATTTTTTTTTCTTTCAATAAATAAATTAAAAAAGACAAATGTCAAAAAAAAGATGACACATGGCAGCTTCTCATTGCTTGAATTTTAAGAAATCTTACTATATTATATAAGATTTAAAAAAATCAATGAAAAAATTTTAAAATCTAGAGGGACAAATATCTAACTTAAGTAGAAATAAGGTACTCAAAATTAAAAAATTTCAACACCAAAAATGACACGTGGCAGTTTCTCAAAGTTTCACTTAGAAGAAATCTTACTATATTATATTAGATAGACTATATTACTATCATACTATGTGGGACAACATAATAATCACATTTTTGTTTTTCGACCTCTGCTTCGGACTTGATGATTACTTGATCATCTTGCTGCTGTAACCACCAACTTCAACAACACGAAGAGAAATAATTACTGCTCATGGCTCCATCGAAGAGGAGTAATTAAGATCCAAGTTAGGTTTGATATATAGTGTTCTTGCTTTCCTTGCTTTCCTTAGGAAAATTTGTATATATGGTATCAGCTAGAAGATGTTTCTTTTTTCAGTATGGAGGTGGTTTGAAGATTACTCTTCCGCGACCGCACGGTATTTACTAGCGAATCCATGAGTTTATGAGATTCTCTCTCACAACTAAGTTA